GTAATAGTAAAAAAACAGTTTGCCGTTTGCTATATGCTATATGCATTGCATTCGCATGTCTTTAAGTCTAATTATTCTTGACTCCAGTACTAAATATCCAAGTTCAAGTGTCATCCGAACGTTCTGTTTCAGGGATATTTGACAGATGACCGTACGAACACATTCCTGCAAGCCATTCGCAGGAATTGCGCCTGATCTCCAGCTTGTCATGGCACTCTGCCCGAATAATCGCGAAGGACAGATATGATGCCATAAAGAAGTTGCTATGCTTAGACAATGCTGGTAAGTCAGCAATACTGTAACTGGTCCCATGGTTTTCTAACAAGGCTGTATTAAATAACAAGGTGTACAACGTATGTCACCCTGTGCCATAACGTCGTGTGCATGTATATGCTTGTTTTTGCCCTGTTTACTGTTTGTTTTGCCAGTTTACTACTGTGTATAATACATGTATGTTAATAAAGGATAACTTGTATAGTAGCGATGATATCTCTGATTCTCATCACTTTTCCAAGTTTGACATTTATTTCGATTTTTTTTAGCTATCTTTGACATAGTCAGATTGCCAGCTTGTAGAAATCGTTGCATCGTCCGTCCGTCCGTGCGCCGCTCCGTCCCTGCGTCCGTGCGTCAAACAGTTGGCACAAATCTTAACCGCTCGACGTACGTCCGCATATTCGGCCACATCGCGGGGGCATCGGCAAAACGAGTTGGGATGTCCAAGCTGGGCTCCGTTAGAAAGCGGTCCAAAGGTCAAGCAGTGCTAAAAGAAGGGGCGAACATTCACTCCTTAACTTATGGTATAGAAGGAAATGGCATAATTGCGCGCACAAATCTAAACGTCCTCGACCTAGGGCGTGATGTCGCCGTGTAATAGCATCATGTAGGAAAGCCATCACTTGTGCCGAAATGGAGGCTCACAGGTCAAAGGCGTCAGGCGGCACCAGGGCCGATTTTAGACATTTTCTCAGCGACAATGGTCTGACGGGCGTGCGCCTAAGCGATGAAGAAAAAACTTTTATTTGCTTTCAGCGCGTTGTGACTTAGCATTTTTATGCGCCTTTATTAGATCGGTCTTGTTTTAGAGAGCAAAGAATTCTGCTTAATGCAATACCATGAAATTATTCTAGACTCGCAGGCAAAGTAGAATAATGTAGTCGTGAAATAGCACTATTTTCCCGTTTTTCCGTTGTACACTCTAGGTATTATTAGCTCTTGATTACATACAGTGCAGTACAGTGTAGTGCAAATTGCGACCAGCGCGGTGTCTGCTGATTTGTGTTCATTTGATCACGCTCGCTCCGCGAATTGCTCGCTCTCTTTTGAATGAGATTAGTAGGGGTGAGTATTGCGACCAAAAACCGTATTGCAATATCTTGCAATGCGACAAAACCGTATTACAATATTTTCCAATACGTATTGGGAAGTGTATACCATGCATGATATAGTAACAATTTGATGGTTTATCATCATATTGTATTATTATGTAATTTGCATTTGTAATTGCCATACATCAGCTTTTGCCCTTTTATTGGGGATAATTTCAAACAAATCGTCTGCTACAGGCGCTGTCATTTTGGCTGCCTCGTTGTGATATTAGATCGATGCTAGACTGATGCGTGTTCAAGAACCAGTGCGCTCGACCGACCGCGCCAGCACAGTAAAATAGTCTTGTTGAACGATAGTGGGCGCTCGCTTCAGCTTGTATCGCGCGACTCGGGCTAGCATAGGCTATATATTGACTCCCTGGTTGACGTGCTCGCTCACACCATAGATAGATACATGTGTGTTGTATATATCTATGCTCATACGTCTGCCCGCGCAGTAGTACCATAGCTAGTACCGCGGTCCATACATTGGTCGGTTACCAGTAATGCTGTGTGCGTATCGTAAAATATTGATATCCGGAAGTTGTATCGCGATATATCGAGTTTTCAAAATATATTGCAATATACGAGATTAGCACGTAAGAAACAATTATTTTTATCACATGGACACTGAAATTTTAGTGGCCCGATCGGGCCACCAAATTTTAACTTTTTGAAATTTTGGTGGCCCGACATCTAGTGTCGAGCCTTGGTTAACGGAATATTTATGGAATATGAAAAGAAAAACTGAACAGTTAAGACTTCTGTTGTGAAAGAGTTATGAACTTTCTATGAAAGGGCTTTAAACACGCAGAAAAAGCAAGTAAAAAGTCTTTCAACCAAAATTTGATTTTAAAGACTCGCCTTTTTTCCATAAAATGCGCATGTCACTAGCAATGTTTCCATGTCGGTGGCATGCTACCTGTCTACTATGGTTTTTAGCTCACCTTGACATCGTCAAGCTGAGCTATTGCCATGGGTCGTCGTCTGTCGTACGTCCGTCCGTCCGTCCGTCCGTCCGTCAACATTTCGCTTCGGTCAACGATAACTCAGGAACTGTTTTACCCACATGTTTGAAATTGGGTGTAGTTGTTACTGCTATGCTCCCATATGGAACGTCCTATTTTTTTGGCAAAAATGGGAATTGCCATTAGTCAGTTCAGGTTCAACAGATTTTGCTCATTTTTTGGTATGTGAATGAATAAGGGCTAGGGGTTTTGATATTTACAAAAAAATTATGCAAATTAGGTAGGGTTTGGCAATTATATAGCATATTATATAAACACAAACAGTCTGTGGTGTCACACTCGTCTGGTTCGTTTTACACGATTTCATTGACAATATCTTTAATGCAAAATTGGTATTTCCTCTCCACTCTGCCGATAAAACGTCTATATTAGAGTAAAGATTTGCAAAACATGTCGGAACGCAGCATAACCTATTTATTTCAAGCGCCATCGCTACAAAGCGGGTATAGCGCCATCTACGGTCACAAATTGTGATTCATTTTGGTTTATAAATTATTGCGATATACAGATGGCAATCGTTTCTATAATGTACGTTGATGGTTGCTCAATTAAAACTGACTTCTTCTTACTCGCTCATTTGTGTCCTTTTTTGTGGTGAGCTACAGTGTCATTGACACTTTCAGTTTACTCTAACGTGTGCTGTGCAATGTCACACGTGCTGTTCTCTCAACTTGCAGCTGAAGTCTGTGATGTTTATTGGCTTCGACACCTACCACGACTCCAGCCAGAAGAATCGCTCGGTCGGCGCGTTTGTCGCCTCGCTGACGCACGACTGCACGCGCTACACGTCGAGTGTCATGTTCCAGCACAATCACCAGGAGCTTGTCGACGGCCTACAGACGAGCATCACAGGTGTGTCAAGCTCGTGCCGAGTACGTGCAGAGGCAGGGGTAGAAATTAACATTTGAACAAGCGAGTCCAACGGACTCCCTACCCTCGAAAAGAGGTAGTCCACAGCAAAATGAGGTAGTTCGCAGTCTGAAGTTCAAAACTAAAGATATGAACAAAAAGGACATTTGCGGTGCACGTCTGCCAAATTTGCTTTGGGCAGTTGCTAAAAAAAGAGTACGGTAATTCTGCGAGGCCGTGCTCTGGGTCGAACTAGTTGGTATAGCAGAATTTTCAGGGAGTCACACAGATTCCTGCCTATGTCGAACCAGGGACTGAGGGAGTCCAACAGGAAGTCAGGGAGTATTTGACTCCGGACTCGTGTTAATTTCGTACCCTGCAAAGGCATGGAGGTTAGCCCCACACGCATAGCAGGCAAACCGCACTTTTTCGCAACCGAGTTCCGCATTCCGAACACGTGCAAACGAAATGGTGGAAATGTGTGATTGTCCGCGCGTCGTATACTCGTGCGTAGCCGAAAATTCAATAATAGTCGAGGCCGTACTGCACTTGTCAACTGCTCTCACGTTTTCGCCGACAGCCGCACTCAGGGCTTATAACAGCCACAACGGGGGCCTGCCGGACCGTATCATGGTCTTCCGAGACGGAGTGGGCGAAGGGCAGCTGCCCGTCGTGCGAGAACACGAGGTCAAGCAGTTCATGAGATGCTTCAAGCAGTTTGGCGACGACTACAAGTAAGTGGACTCGTGATTTCAACACTTGGCGTGGGTGTGTAGATGAATACTGTATACGCCATATTTTTCGCGTACAGATATTTTCGCAAATTCAGACTTGTTGGACAATTTTGCAAGTGATTAATTTCGCGGTCGGTGAATTATTAACTATTCGGTATGAAGTATCCGCGTGTTGTTATTTTCGCGGTCGGAGACGCGTTCGCGAAATTCACGAAAATTAAACCACCGCGAAATATACAGCGTATACAGTATTTGCTTTTTGTATGCGATTCGTTCAGTCCATGAGTAAGTGGTGCGTGTGAATGTGATACGTTCAGTGACAGTTTTGATTGTGGTGCCGGTTATGCATTTGATTATTTTCATTTAACAGTTGCCTAATAGTTTTCAAAGCCTTACGTTCGCTGCGTAGCGTGGTGTTTGAATGCGCAACACTATTTCCAGTAAGTTCTCAATTTGCGTTACTTTCTTTCAGCCCAAAGTTCACATTCACTGTTGTCACTAAGCGTGTGAATGCACGTTTCATGAGGAAGGATAAGCGTAGGGGTAACTTGGAGAACCCCGCGCCAGGAACTGTTATTGACACTGTAGTCACTAACATCAACAGGTAGGTTTTCCCTGCTACTTTCTGCGACAACAATGCATTATGATGGGCGTAGATGGTAATGCCGTATGCAGTTATTGTTGCGCAATAGAAGACTAGGGCTGAAGTAGACAAGATTGGCTTAATTATTCCATGACCTGATTAATATCATTGTGTGTGTTCACTGTTCATGCCATATCAGTAAAAACTTGAACTTTGGATGAAGTTTCTCTGACAAAATGGGTGGCTTTCCTATTGGTGGTGCCTGGCTGGGAAAGGCAGCACTAATCAGACGTGTAAAACAAAGGATTGACCCTGGCCATCACAGGACTAACCATCTTTATTTAGACATTGTTGTAGGATATTGCACACGACATGTCGAAAGTATAATTCATCGAATGTTTTTACCGAATTGTTACTATCGTTCAATCCTTATGTAACACACCAACTATTTAATAGTGTAGATGCTAACATCAGGTGTGATCTTATCCAGAATGCCTGAATTACTATAGCATACTAACTACCAAGAGCTTGGCTTCTGGCCCACTCTTTTTATTAAGGTCCAGGGGTCAGTTGTCAGAAACTTCGTAAAGTTACGATTAATTTTAAGTCTATCTAATGTTAAGAGAAAAGTTAATAGTGTTGACAGAAACCGATCGTAACTAAACTTACTTAAGTGAAAACTCACTATAACAGGAACTTCATAATTTCTCACAAGGCTGCTGATTGGATGAGAATCGATCACAAAATTCAAATTCATACACATTTATTGTACATTACAGTAATTTATGCATATTATGATGGCTAACCACATATAAATAATATTTGATGAAAAATTACGTGGTCATGAATTTATTCTGCACAACAAGACAAATTCTCACACTGTAACGCGAGACGCGAGAATCGTGGCAAGCATTGCAAACCTTTAAAACAAGAGAACAAATGCCATACGTCATTTGTAAATGTATTGTTTTGTTTTATTAGCGGTAGATTTTTGACGTGTTTTTCAAGAAAAACACACATTTTATTCATTATTATAAAATATAATATCACTATAATTGTAATTCGTAGTGTAAATGTGTTATTTTCAACTTAATATTAAAGTTAAGGGAGGGTCTATGATCTCTTAAGTTAAGAGAAAAGTTACGATAATTTTTAATTCTTTTAACTTTACGAAGTTTCTGTCAACGCTCTAAGAGAAAAAGTTAATGTTAAGGTTAATGTTAAGACTAATTTGTTTCTGACAACGGGCCCCAGTACATTATGTATGTACCAGTGAAAAAAATACACAGGGGCTCGGGGCGATTTAGCCCCCCGAAATGACAAAAAGAGCCCCGGAAATGCCAAAAAGAGCCCTCGTAAATTTGCATAGAGTTCAATGCAAACCAAATTTTAGAGTGCTATTTTCATGAGCGCGAGCTTGAAAAGTAGACCCCGAAAAATAAATTATATTTTTTTCCCTGGTATGTACACTTATTAACACAGTATTCGTACATTATTTTGCTGAACGGCAAGGCAGAATGTGATGCCTGGATCGTTTTGGTTCATGCCTGAACGCGAATAACCTTGCAGGTGGGACTTCTACTTGGTGTGCCAGAGCGTGCGTCAGGGTTCGGTGACGCCGACAGCGTTCAACATTCTCCACGACACGAGTGGTTTGGCATCTGAGCACCACCAGCGACTCGCGTATAAGCTGGCCCATCTCTACTACAACTGGCCGGTGAGTGGTTGGTTGCGCTTCTGCGATGGTGTCGTGAAATTCCATTGTTCTATTGTTTTCCTGGTTCCCGGTTTTTGGCCGGTACGCGTAGCAGGGAATCGAGAGCCGTGACGTTTGATTTGCGTGCGCGCGACGCTTGTATTTTTTAGTTGCTGATATTAAAGTGTATTGCGAGAATTTTCTACTGTTTTCCCCACTTTCATGATACCTACCGTTATTGCTTGAGTAACAGCAATTGTCTAGAGTAACGATAAAATGTCTTAGAACCTTCGTATTCACTAAATCCAATGAAATCATGCACCATTACAATTTTGCGTTCTGTTTCTGTTTACCGTTGCCATCTCTCGAATTTTCTCGCGGTAGCGCGAGACATCTATCACGGTGTAGTAATGCATACCGTCGCACCGTAGAAATCGGGTCAGAGTGTAAACACAGACGTTTATACTAGCGAAACAGCAGTGTAGTACTAATGCCACGTAAAGTCTGTTATTAGAGCAGGGTTCGTAGCGGGTCTTCCAAAGTCTTATAAGTACTTATTTTGCCAAAAATAAAATAAGGGCCCTTATTAGTACTTATTTTTGGTGAAATCTTAGAAAAGTACTTAATAGTCCTTATTTTTTGCCAAAGGACCATTTTTATAAGCTGGAATTGCTGGAATAATTAAATCTGCTGTGCAAATGTGTATATTAATATTATTAGTGTACTATAATAGTCGGTGATCTATCAGAAATCGCGTAAAAAAGTCTTATTTTGGCCTCCAGAAAGGGTCTTATAAGTCCTTATTTCAACAGGTGTCTTACTACTATGAACCCTGTAGAGAAGCTTGTGGATTGCCAGTCAGATAGTAACACGGGAATGACAATGACAGAAAGTGCTCTGAATTATTGACATAAAAACTCAATAATATTTACCAAACATAATTGCACGCCCTTTTGTTTTAATTATGTGCACTTGTTTAAAGATGCCATTTGTGATTTTGAGAGTCGGGACACGATAAAATTGATTGCTGGTATGATGTGGTCAAATCAATTTTTCTATGCTATAACTGCATAAAATCTTGGTGTTTTGAATGTTGGTATAATCAGTGATATTTCCACTGTCAGGTGAGACTATATTCAGCTATATTTAGTTTTCTGAGCCAAAAAACTCGCAATACTCCTTTTAAAACGTGGCTGTTGTCGTTTCAGGGCACCATTCGCGTCCCAGCTCCTTGCCAGTATGCTCACAAGCTGGCATTCCTCGTGGGCCAGAGTCTCCACAGGGACCCGCACCTGGCTCTGGCTGATAAGCTGTACTACCTGTAGATATATTTACGATGTAAGAGGCAGTCAGGATGGTCCTAGAAGTCTTTGGGCGTTAGTATTATCAGCGCTTGGTATCAATCTTCCCATGTATTGCCTTCAGGTTGTAATAGCGGGAGGAGCTAGTAAGTGAAGTTGTGCCGAAAGGCACTGGAATTCTGATTGAAACCAAATGCCATATTCTAAAGTAATCGAGATTATATATTTTAGTTCTGATTTTGTGTTTAGATAGTTTCCTAAGAGGTAGCTAAAGAAATTAGCTAAAGAGAAATCTCATTTATACATATGCAGGGTGGAAATTAACGGGTGTCCGGAGTCAAATATTCCCCAATTGTTAATATCTTTCATTTTGAACCCCAGACTGCGGGCTCCCTTATTTTGCTGCGGACTCCCTCTTTTTGAGGGTAGCGCCGTCTAACGGGCCGGTCAAAAGTTAATTTCTACCCCTGCATATGTGAATCCTGATCATTAGTAACCTTTTATTATAGTTAGTATAAGCATTTATGGTATTTCTGTTTTTATAGTATAGATTAGTGTTGTCGTCTGCCATTCAAAGGAGAATTAAGTGATTAGAGATTAAGAGTTAGAACATGACTTGTGCACAGTATAATTGTATTTAGAAATCCTGTTGTTTATGCTTGCTAAAACTACTGCACAGATTAACTATCCAGTACATAACAACAATACTTCCATTTTAATTGAAATTTTTTTGGTGTAATCTAGGAATTTAAGTACTTATACTGTATACTGTGGCCGCAAAGAGTTCAAAAGAGTAACACTGAGTAAAAAATTTAGGTGAAATCCTACACAAGCATGTTCTAACGTTAGCATGTATTGCGTGCAGGTCTGTTGTAACTGTTAACGCATACAAGTAATTACAATGTGGTCTCAGTTATGGATATAAGCAATTTGCTATGTGGGGAAATAAAATGATAAGTATTTCCTGTTTCCTATTATGGGTTGTTGATGCACTTGCCTATAGTAGACAGAAGAAATAACGTAATCTCTTATATTTTCTCCCATTTGAAATATTTCCATATCAAATAATTTACATGACCCCTGTACAGATGTGTTTAGGTATTCTCACAGTTCCCAGAGTTTGTAATCGCAGAACGAGTGATGAGTTTTTGAAATCACTAATGCCTGTAATACGTTCCAGTAGAGCTTTCGGGCTTGTCCTAGGCTGGTAATACGTAACAAACAGATGGTAGTTTGGGATGAAAGAGCAGTGACTAGTATACAGTAGCGGTTTCTTGTGACTGTCAGTTGCGTTCGTTTTTGGAAATGTTTACTGTAACAGGTGCCCGTTGTCAGAAACAAAATTAGTCTTAACATTAGTCTTAACATTAACGTTTTCTCTTGGACCGTTGGCAGAAACGCTGCGAAGTTACGAGAGCGAAAAATCGTAGCAGATTTCCTACGAATAACAATAACAATAACATAACAATACAAAACAAAGTGATGTCGACGGTCTAGGAGAAATTGTTAATGTTAAGACTACTGTTAAGACTAATTTTGTTTCTGACAACGGGCATCTGGCTTATATTAATTACATTCTGTGCGCAATTATTGTTTGTTGTATGATATTGCCGTATATTTGCTGGTAGTTGTTATAAACAGGTTTGGTTTAGGTTCGTTACAAAGGGGATGTAAAAAAAAAATTCTGTTTGCTTATATAAATAACTCAAAGAAAACGATGTTTGTTTCTGGTTACGTTGAAATAATGGCTAGGGTGGATAGATATGCGAATAGTTTTACTGTTTTACTGCTAGGATAGATAGGTACACACTCATTGTCTAGGTCTGATAGACTTTTTGATGCCTTGAAACTTTTGTTTTGGAGAAGCCAATTCTTTTCCATGCAGTGAGCTCAGGGGCGGATCTAGGTTTTAACTAAGGGGGGGGGTTACGCTGAGGTGATTGCCTACACACCCAGCGTGCGCGAAGGCAGCGCCTTACAGGGGTGTCGGGGCATTAAACCGTAAAGCATGCCATCCCGAGTCGCTTTTCACGATTCCCGCCCGACGTACCGAATATCGTGACCGTAAGTCCGAGCGGGTAAGCCAATTTCGAACCCGCTGGAAAAACACCTAGTTATTTTTTAGTTTTTTTCTAAGTAGGGCTACATCAGGCGATTTCACTGGGCAGCCCAAGGGGGGGGTTTAACCCCCCCCCCCTCGTAGATCCGCCACTGGAGCTCAGGATCTATCGATTATCTGTTAGTGGAGAAAAGAACAAAATGACGTGAATTGTGTTGGACATCCTAGGGCCGGATTTTTTGTGTAAGAAGACTATCGCCGTGATCTATTACTATCTAGGATTGCTAGGCAACCAGAAACACATTTGTTTTGTGTAAAATATGTTTCATGTCCTATTTTCGTATTCATATAGAAGTATTATCTAATAAACGTTTAAAGCAATATAATTTTGTTGTATTAGATTAAATGCAAAATGCAAGTTCGCGCACTACCTACATATATGTACACTATAACACTGTGATTTCCATTTTGATATATTGTGACAGGAAAGGGTTAAAGGTATAGTATGTAGGCCCCTGATTATACGTTGGAAACATTCCAGAACTTGTCATACACTTAGCGTTATCCAGAACGCAATTGTTTATAGAAAGCTGTGTGCACGTGCATTGCACTTGGGTTGTTTGATGGCAAATCGCAAATAGTGACCTTGTTTGTAAGATCTAATCGTATGTTTGAAATAGCCGATTTTGACTTACTATATTTTATGTTTTATATTTTTTTATTTTTTCAAGGGTTGTGATGAGTGGAATTACAGATAGAAGGTATAACTGTTGATAGGCATGTACTCAGTACTGCCTGTTTACAAGCAGCCTGGTTAACTAAAATAGACGAATCTAATAATGCATGCAACCACAACATCAAAAGCTAGTATATCGTATAGAGTATAGATTCAATCACGGTACATACCGTTAGTTTGTTTTCCCATTTGACGTTGCAAATAGGAAATGGGTTTCTGACCTATTTCCTATTTTTAAAATGAAAATAGGAAATGGGTTTCTGATCCGTTTCCTATTTTAAAGGTCTAAATTGGAAGTGGGAAAAGGAAAAGGAAAGTATTATAAGTGTTATGGTAAGGCACCCGCTGGTACACGCACGTACACGCAGATTCACGCGCGTTCACGCACACGAGGGTACACGCACGTACACGCACATGCACGCGGCACACGTACGTACACGAGGGTACACGCACGTACACGCACGTACACGCGGGTACACGCACGTACACGAGGGTACACGCACGTACACGCGGGTACACGCACGTGCACGCGGGCACACGCACGTACCCGGCCCCTTCCTTTTCCTTTTCCTATTTCCTATTCAGACTTAAAATTGGAAACGGGTCAGAAACCCATTTCCTATTTTCTATTTTCATTTAAAAAATAGGAAATAGGTCAGAAACCCGTTTCCTATTTGCAACATCAAATGGGAAAACAAACTAACGGTATGTACCGTGATTAAATACGTAGAGCACTTGCCACTCGGTTATACCATATATGATATTATAGCATGGGTTATACCAGTTATACAAAGCGAAGACTACGAATGCTGCCTTGCTCTGATCTCTGCTCTGATCGCTACAGAGGCGCCACCTTTCAGTAGAAAATGAATTTATGCGATTATCGGCCTTTGGTTGCTCTGATCGCTACAGAGGCGCCACCTTTCAGTAGAAAATGAATTTATGCGATTATCGGCCTTTGGCACTGGCCTTTGGTCACAACCCTGGGAAAATGGCGTCGTCCGTCGAACAGAGATTTCAGGCTGCGGTTGATGTTATTCGTAATTTGCCCAAAAATGGTGATTATAGTTGCGTTTGTATATTAACTCCAGTTAAGTAGCTAAAATAGAATGCTTTGTGGATAGAAAAGTAGTTTAAGTTGAAATGAATAAAGCCACGACTAGTAGGAACTTTAGAACACAAATACAATGTAAACAAATGCCAGATGGACATGATAAATACTGAACCATCACTGCTCATTCTAAAATGAAAACTGCAAACCATACAAGACATTTCACTGACGATTGACAGACATTGATCAGAACCCAAGATGAGGCTGTTCGTTGCTCAGCATATTCTGCAGTGCATCACTGCAATCGGATCCCGAATCCGCAGTGTTGATCTATCAACTTGTCTCTTTCCGTATTCGATATACCGTGATATAGTCCCTTGAACTTTGAAGACTAATAATATTTATGAGGTTATGTTGTTCGGTAACATTCAGCTTGGTAGACAAAACGTATATTGAGCTATATAATATTCCGTATTGGAATTCACTCCCTTCATTCTTAGTAAATAGCAAATTTACAACTTTTTCCGCTCCGATCCGCAGTGTGGATCTACCGACTTGATCCACTTCTCTCTCTCCATCTTCGTTATAGTCCCCAGGATTTTTGAAGATTAACACTTATGAGGTTATGAGGTTATATAATATAGGCATACTGAGTTATTTTAATTTCAAACTTACTTTCCTAAGTGTTGAGTGTTTAATCTCTCCATCAGTCTCAGTGCCATGTGTATCAGTTATAAAAGACTTAAAAATTGAGATTTGGTTTCCAAACGTCACGATTAGGTGTAATCACACTTTTGTTTCAGGCTCGTATAAGCCCTCAAATGAGATGATGCTCAAGTTCTACTCATATTTCAAGCAGGCAACAGAAGGTCCATGTAATATCCCACGACCAGGATTCTGGGAAGTAGTTAACAAGGCTAAATGGTAAATACATTGGTAGAGTTTCAACAGACATGAACTACAGAACCCTCAATCAATAACCTTAATATTCAATTCTAAACCCTTTTTAAATTTACATGATCATTTTTTTTTACATGTGCCATCTTCTAAGAATCCTTTAGCTTCTTTGTTTCTATCATTCCGTATTGGAATTCTCTCTCTTTGTCTTTAGTAAAAAGGAAATTTGCATCTTTTTTCACTGCGATCCACAGTGCAATTTGTCGATTTGATCAACTTGTCAAGGGCGTGTACAGGATTTGTACCAGGGGGAGGTCTAACTATAACCCAAACTTGCGAGCACCGTAGGTGCTTGCGGCGAAAGGGGGATCTGGGGGGCCCTTCCACCAGAAAAATTTTGAAATTAGATTCCCTCAGATGCGTTTTCCTCGCATCTGACACCACAATAACTTCATCTTGATATGTGCATCAATGCCATTTTTGTCTGGTGTCAAGTTGTCTCTCCGTCTTCATTATAGTCCCTTGGACTTTTGAAGACTATTGTTTATGAGGTTAAGTGCTAACCATAATCATGATTCCTCACATTGTATTTTTTTATTATAGCCATAATGTATGCATCGTAACTTATAACGGAAATCACAAAACTTACATTCCAGCTAAACATTTTTCCTTGCGAAAGAAGAGTAGAAATAATGTTAAAACTGAGACTGAAAAAGTAAAATCTGATATATACACACAGAGAGAGACATATATATAATTATATATTGTATACACGCTTGACATATATTTTATTTCAGGGAAGCATGGCATTCACTTGGGGACATGCCACAGGAAACTGCAATGGAGAAATACGTTGAAGACTTAAAACAGGTTTGAATAATTAATTGTCTCTACATTTATGTGTTGTTACTTTCTTTTTCCTAGTACAGGGAGACACGTTGTTTTAGATGTTGGCTCGAGTGTGCAAAGTGACATACACCTAATTTATAACAAAAATGATAACATCGGTTTGAGATGTGCATGTTTCGTCACTATATTCTTCTTTTATCAGATCGTCGAAACGATGGCCTTTACTGACAAGGTAGCAGATTTTCTCACTGTTGTTGGCCCCTTCTACATTGAGGTGCCTCTTGGTGCGGAAGATGCATCAGACTCAGAAGATAAGCTTGGTGTTCCCATAAGGTATGCAAAATCACTGGCAATATGCGGTACAGCTTTTTGACATTATCGAAGATAGCATTATCTTCGTTGGAAAGCAGATCGGTATAAGAAATGAGTCACAGTTTGGGATTGAGAATTTAGTTTGCAATTGCTGAAAACACAAGTTGTATCCCAACCGAACTATCTTATCTTGTTTATAGAGAGAGGCTTGGAAAGGCAGATTTCTTGCCAATGGCTACGCCGACCCCCATGCAGGAGACAGATGAGTACGATGAGCTATGCAACGCGACGATAGTGGACAGGGAGATGTCCAGGATGGAGTCTGATAGTTGCCATGCAATGGCGAGCCCTCATGTTAGCCCGTTGCAACGCGAAATGGAAAGCAGCCCTGACCTTAGCGATGACAGTGATGGTACGTTTCCTTTCATAAAATGTGATAAATGTGGTGTAGATATATTCATGTATATATATATATATATATATATACATATATATATATAT